CATCCCAAACTGTTGTTAAGGCTATCTGAGGAAGCATGCAACCTACCTGGATCTTCACTCAGAGGAACAAAATCATCCGCACAGTCAGTTTCTGCATGAGTGAAGATCGATGCCACTACTCTCACACGAAGAAAGAGCTATCTGAAGAATCAGTTCAACTACAAAATTGCAGATGAAACGCGAAGGAGGGCAACCCTGACGAACACCTCTCCGTGGTGAACTTGGGTGAACACGGCTTCGGCTGTTCGAGTACACGCATTGGAGAAGAGAAATAAACCATTGCATGTAAGGCTTACTTGAACCACAGTCCTATGAAGCAATAGACGCGGCATACAAGGTTTCCTTGATATGTTGCCAGCGTTCATCTGGGCCGTGCACATCCGGCTGCATCGATAACCATGTACGCAGCTCCGCCTGAAAAGCAGATCTCCGGTTGTCGTTCAGAAGCAACTGCACAGTTCGGGGCATTTACTTTGGTGCGACCACGTACGAGACGTAAACAGAAACGAGCACGTACCAAGGTGTGATCTGAGTCCACGGGCGTAGACGAAAAAGAACGAAAATCTTCAATCGATCCACGCCATCGGCGACTAAACACAATATCGTCAGTCTGAGTCCAACGTTTGAAGACGTCGGAGGACGCCAAGCGGGTCTATTCCACTTTTGTTGGAAGTTCGTACTCACCAGAAACAATCTGTTGTCAGAGCACAGCTGAATGAGACGATCAGCATTATCAGTGCGATAGACTGGGATAGCAAATGGGCCTTCAATGTCCCTTTCGGAATCTCCCAAACGACCAACTCGGGTGTTGAAATCCCCAGCAATGACCGCCACGACAACATTGCATTGAAGCTTCTGTTTTTTGTTGTTGACACGAACAGAACCGCTTAATCGAACTGCACACAAACTACTACTGCTCAGCCCTCGTTTTCAAACCAATCCCAACACCAGCCTGACCACGAACACTAGAAACCCGATAACCCGACACGCGAAAAGTGAAGCGAAAGACTGAGGTTATATGTGGGGTGCGAAGTGTGATCACAGAAATGGGGTGTTGTGTGCGCGTTTCGGAGGCACAGCACACATCTACCTTAAGTGTCAAGAGTTTTAGCGCGGGCATCATGTTGCCCTATCTGACAGTGTGCGGACGGTAAAGGCAGCCAAGTGAAGTGGACATTTAAGCTTAAGGAGTGCATTCGATTTAAACCCAACTCCTGAACTGCTACTTTGTTCAGAGCCGCAATGACCCGTGGCGTTGGTAAGGCCCTTTGCAGGAAGGATGCTGAAGGACGAGATCTACTGCCAGAAGGGAAAACTGTTCAACCAAAACGGTCGCATGGACCCCTGGGTCATGAATACCTCTACCGAATGGCGAACGAGCTCCTAGAGAGCCACCGACATCCATGTACAGTGGGTACGTTGGGTGTCTTGGATTGGTAGACCACCATTGAAAAGGCGTATGAGCCGCTCGGTCGGTTACCGGTTCCGAACACACGATCTGTCTGTTGCCCGACAGGTAGCACTTGATTGTGCACGGACAATTGATACACTAAGCTAAATGCATTAACCGAACAAATTGCAGATTGCTTGAACCTCACACTGATTGGGATACCATTTTACGGATCGGTCCAGTGGTGAACGGGTTATATTTTGATCCACAATGCCGGATCGAAATGATAACACTGAGAAAGTTACGTGGCGATCCTAATGTTTACTGTTCGATTGCATTTATTTATATCACGGGGCCGAAATAGCCCACAATGACCGTCGGGCAAATGTGTTTTAAATGTAGATATTTTCTCGATTTGCGATTATGCCTACAAGTTACCATACGTTTTGGAGGAAAGTCTAAAAGTAAAATTGTGTATGTCGTAAAAAGCACAAACTATTGGAGTGATTCTCTGCATAGCTTGGGTTCCAACAAATTATAGCAGTGGCCTCTGATGGTTTGTCCGTCGGGTACCCGCAAAATTGTCACTTTGTGTGCAATTAACAGTTGCTTCACTGTGTTCTCGAAACCACTAAAGACTTTTTCAATGGGATTGAAAAATGGACTGTAAGGTGGAACAAGGTGAGTTGCATGTCCCGGGTCCAACATAGCGGTTTCCGTCTGCCTGTGAGTAGGGACGTTGTCAAATAAAATTACAGCTGATGCACACGGCTGTTCTGCATCGACTTTTACTGAACGTTTCTCAAGAGAGAAAACGCCACACAATCGAGAGCACCATATGTTATGGTTAGTTTCGTCTGTATATAGACGCAATACTGTACTTCCCTGCTCTTCCGACCAGGTTGTGTATTCAGCGCGTTTTTCTTTAACATCATGCCTGTTCCGTTCGATCGGTTGTGGTAAGCATTTTCATTGGATATCCATGACCATCAAGCATGCGATTAGTTGACGGTAAACTGATCGTAATTTCAGGATTTATGGTTTTCATCTTCCTTTTGATCAGTATATTCTTTAACGATGGAACAGATCTGTGCGATATACTCGACTGAAAATTTTCGTTTTGCGAATCCTCATTTACGACCGAATTCACGTTCTCTCGCGGCAATGCGTCGGTGGGTCTTGATGTTGATCCTTAGATGGTTTGCTATGAGATACAGGCTTTCACCATTCCTTGGACATTGTACTATTCGATTCCTATCGTCGTCATTCGTGGTCCTCCGCTTCTTTGTTTTTGTTAAGGTCAGTTATTTGCACTACTTCCGCCACATTTTCACCATCAGCTTGTTGGATTGTGAGTGCGCAACATGTCTACAGGAATGAACAACACAGCCTTCAGCTGCGCAGATAATGCGCTTTCCCTACTCAGTCACACGACCTTGCCATCGTAACCGTGTTGCGATTTTCGGCGCTTCCAATCGGGTCACTCGTTAATTTAGCAACCACAGTCTATGGTAATCAAACCTTGCCGACATACCCATACCGCACAAAGTCACATCACGTGCGAGTCTTCGGCTCCAGTTGAGACTTGGTAGCCTTATACGCATCACGTGAACGGCTGTGTGCACGATGTAGATTTGGTCTCCATCACTTCAAAGTTACCAGCTGAACGATTGCTTCAACATCCACGGAATTCCTAATGGAGGAAGTTGAGCTCATCGGTCTGTACTAACAGGCGAATACAGATTCGCATCCCAAAGGGAAACCAGTCAGTGATAAAGACTAGAGAAAGATCTTCCAATCTGTAAGAAAAGGTGACGATTTAATATTTCCTTCCTACCATCTTGGTATTAACATGAAAACCAACAGAACCATCGCCAAACGGCACACAAAGTCTAGCCTTGAAAGAGGATTCGCAAAACGTGTATTCTCCAATGAATTTTTGCTCATTGGTAGAGGAAAATCCTACATTCACTTTGAATGGGACAGAGAAAAGACGGTACTGATACTCACGAATTTATCGACCAGTTTATCTCCCATTGGCCGTCTTATCAATGGTCCTGGTTACACCACGCAGAGACTATGCATTCATCCGATCGAGCAAAACAGGACTGATGTCAAAGAGAAGCGAGCTCAGTACGCAACTTGGTTACAAGAGCATCCATTTTACGATTTTACGTAGATGAGACCAACTACAACATGTGAGCCACAATGGGCGAGAAGGCAACGGACCACAATGTTAGCCATGGTATTCTAAACTTTGTCAAAGGCTCTTAAACGATCACCGAAGGCTCTTGATGGTCGCCGTCGGATCTTAAACGATCGCCATAGGCTCCTAAACGAAAGGAAAACCTGTAGAACATTGCTACAAATTTCAACAACCGACATCAGGCTGTTTCGTTGATCTTCGCACGTCATTTGTCTCAGTTGACAGTCACGCGGTATGAACTGTTCTGCAAGCAGACAGCATAGCGGTAAAATTTGCCAGTCTCATAAAATCGTACTACTCAACTATGCGTGCAAGAATACGATTTTATGAAAAAGAATCCGGCGAATTCTCCGTCAACTCCGGATTCCGACAGAATTGCCCGTTGTCGCCAGACCTACTCAACTGCGCTATCGACTGGATAATGCGGCAGGCGCTCAATGTTTACCCTTATGTACAGCTCAGCCCAGACGCTGTCTTCGCTGATTTGGAATTCGCAAACTGTGTTGTTATCCTACGGGACAGTCCGACTACCCTTCAGCCAATTCTAAATCGTGTTGTTTACTTCATGAAAACCATGAGACTTGAAGTCAATACGTGGAAGACTGAGATGCTTTCGAATTGCGCTGTACAGCCCGGTCAACCAATATACGTCAACAGCAAGCTAATGGGGCGTATGCAGGCACTCAAATACTTGGGCTCCACGATCCTTCCAAACGGCCAAGCCAAGAAGAGCGTTTTTTCAGCCACTTAAGTCACTTTGCGCGCGAAACGAGGTCAGTCTCCGAACCAAAATTTGCTTCTTCCGAGCCGCCATCCGACCCATACTGACGTACGGTTGTGAAACGTGGCCCCTATGCGTCGAGGACATCGGAAAGCTGGGAGGTCGAGGATGCCTGAGGCTCCGGCCTGTTAATGGTGCTGGTCTCTGGAATCAAAACGTGATCTGCTTGTGTTCCGGTCTCACCTCTGACCACCGTTCATGGGCAGACGCAATGCGCGACATCCATGAAGCCGGCCCATTCTCTGTGGAGATAACCGCATAAAAGTAAAAGTGAGAAATGAGCGGCAGTGGCACGATCGAACCCGAGACGTCACGGTCCAGATTCCACAGTGATGACCGTTTGACCGCCGCCGGTCAGGATAAGTAGTGATTTTCATCTAATGTGTTTTTTCTTCTTACCAATATCATGATGCTTTTCACCCTGGTTGAGTTATCAATGTCTAGGATGCAAATAATAGGTTAAAAACTATCAAAATTACACTTCCTCCAGCGTGCTCAAGCGAACAAAACTGAATTCGGTCCCTCGTTTTAGACCCAAATCTCATTTGGACGTGAGTTCTCCGAGGCGGTCGAGGCTAAACAGGTGGCGCAACAGGAAGCCGAGCGTGCCCGCTATCTAGTAGAGAAGGTTAGTTGCTGCCCTCTCACATTCTTTCATAGGCTCATGGTGTATGTGGATTTAATCGTGCAGTACGTATACAAAAAGTTTTTTATCAGATCAAAAATTCGCGTTTTTTAACCTTCTCGAAAGGTGGTTCACCTTCTTCATGGTGCCGGTTAAATGAACAGTTTTTCGCTAAATTTTTCATTTATTCTCTGCCTGTCAATAACTTTGTCCGCGGCGACCGCAAATTGATTTGTCATAAATTTAGGTTTTGTATGTTCTAATGGTCCACATGACGGGAAAAAATCCGCGACGTTTTCGATCCGTGGGTTAGTTGTCGAAAGTGAACAACAGTTGACGGATAAAATTATCTGATCAGCTATTTTCGAACCGCTTGACCGCGCGTCTATCATATAACTACCAACCACTGAGATCGGACGTCGAAACCAGAACTGGGCGTTCATGCTGTAACTTTCTGTGTGCGACTGCTGACCTTAATTTTCTGAACAGTGATTTCCCTCAATATGAAAACTAAACATTCGTGCGTGCAAAGATCGGTAAGTGTGTTTCGGTAACTTAACATCCTCTTCAACCAGGAAGAGTCATCCACGCGACCTGCCCAACGACAATGACCGCGTGGTAGACCGGTGGTGGTCTGCTGGCTTAGAGCATTCATTTTCCATCCCGTCACTAGTGGTGGACAGTAACCCACTGTCGCCCGGGTCGGTACTGCGCCTACTGGCCTGCTGGACCCCAGGCGGTTCTCTATCCCAAGTCTCAGGCTCAGATGATTGGTTATCTCTAGCAGTGCACTAGGCCTTGAAGGCTGCGGGTTATCCCACTCTACTCCACTCGTGCGCAAGCATATATTAGCAGGAAAAAGACGAGCCTAGTGATAATATGACAGTTTAACCTGCCTAGGGATCACCGATGCCCTAGTTCTCGCCAGCATTAATAATTCGGACATCGTTAACCCAGCAAACATAATTGTATTCGAAGAATAACAAAAAGACTCATTGTCAACATCGGAAAGCTTAGTGTGAGCAAACGTGTTTCCGAGCTGTGTTGCTATAAGACGGAGGTGGATAGATACAGTCTGTAGATCAGCCATTCAGTCTATCACTCCATCGATTGCGAAGTGAATGTGATGAACATCTGCGTGTTCCAAGCAGTGGCCTAGGTCAACAACACTGCTGAGCAACGTCATCGATCCGTTCTCTTTAAAATGCGACAGCGCACACCAGTATTCGATGCACTATATAACATTGCATACATCATACGATACGGACTCTCCGCTCCAGTTGTGGATCACAATTGTGATGAATCAGCGGTTATAACGCTGATAGGTACGCCGCTCTTCTGTGTCGGTGTCATCCTAGATGGTGCCCTAATGTATTTGGAAAAATGTCGTTCGGTCAACTATTGTAATACTACCACGTGGGCGTATGAATTGACGGAACATCTCCGACGAAGTCAACTTAACTACATGAGTGATTGCGAACTGTCATTTGAGTTTTACTGCGGTACATACAGACTAGAACTCGCTTGATGGGTAGAATCTTGCCTGATACAAATCGGCTATAGGGTGACTTTTGTCGGACAGATTGACTAATAGTCTTATCAATCATCCTTTTCGGTTCTCATTTCATGTTATAATGGGTGATTTTGTCTGCGTAGAGAATTTTCGGTGGATTTTGATGAGTCCTCTTCGTATGTACGTATGTATGTATTAATCATATCCAATTCATGTGGAACGAATCAGGATGTATTCGTGTGCATCTGGCCACGGGGCTTCAGTTTAGCCAAAACTTACTGTCAAATAGTCGCGTTGAAAGGCTGACTTATAAGCTCCTCAATAAATTTGTGTGTCATTTTATCTACCAAGAACTCCAATTTATAAACCTTATTTCTCTTTGAAAAACATCGATCACTATCCCGTAGTAAACACTATCAATAGGCACAAAGAAATTAACGGACGAAGCGTGTCAAAAACGAGGGTATGTGAACGGTGTAAACACAGAACGTCGCTCCAGTTCTATCAATTCTACTGTGTGTTTGTTACATTTAAACCCTGTGTGGAAGCTATTCGCTGAGTGAGGGCTTTCAGCTGTCAATGCTTACAAAATCTCTCAAGAATGTGACTAAGCGGTTGGATATTTAACAACGGGGTAGTGCGCCTGTTGTTTTCTTCATCTTCAGATCATCTATTCACTTGGTGAAACCGTTTTTGCGGGAAACCCTCAGTTGCAGAGTGAACTGTTCAGCATTCTCGTGTCATGATTGAAAAAGACGCGTGATGGTCAACTGACTACGCAGATGACAAGCCTGAGGTAGGGTAAACAGTTTGTGGCAATGGTGCATGACGGAGAACTACGCATGGTGGCATTCTATCGTTCGTGTGCTGAAGAACCGGTAACGTTCGTTAATTAAAAGTTTCCCTGAAGTCCCATTCGTCTGATGATTCTTGAAACTGAAATGATATGCTCCTGGGGTGTTCCAGGGCCCAGTATCCTGCTCAATTCAGAAGACAGGAGTAGTTTTATCTCCCAAAATTTCCCAGTGTATTCCAATGTTCAAAATTCCTCACCGTGGATTCCCCCCTCCCATCCTTCTTACACATCCACAGGCTGAGCAACAGAAACTTGCCGCTGTTATTACCGCTGAAGGCGACTCGGAGGCGGCGGTTTTGTTGGCAAAGGCGTTTGGGGCATCCGGCGAGGGTTTGATCGAACTACGCCGCATCGAAGCTGCCGAGGATATCGCTTACCAGCTGGCGCGGAATCGTAATGTGACGTATCTACCAGACGGCCAACACACGCTGATTAATCTACCCGCGGTCTAAACTGTCCCGATTCTCCTCCAACCCGGTTTCCGCTCCTCCTCTCATGCCAACCACAAGCTCGGTTGATGATTTCTACAGCCACTGAACAACCGACCGGAGCGTTAATACATTGTACCTAGTTTCTTGTCGTATACAGTCTCATACAGCATTTCTATTACGAGATGCGTGTTGTCTTCATTCTGTTATTCGTCGAATAATCCACAAAATTACATCCATTCTCAATTCCTCCCGTATCCCAGGTATTGGGCGCGAAGAGCATACCTGTGTGAAGTGATGCAGCCATGCCCACAATTTTTAGGATTCTGTGATGCAGACTATTATCAGCAATAGAATGCCTCGAAGTCCCGTTTCGCCGGTGTGGTTTAAAATACCGAGGATTCAAACGTTGCTTGCATTTGCTATGCTTCGTTCAACACGACCGTGAAATCATAAGACCGCAGAACTCACCTTCTCTAAGCTACGCCCTCTCAAAGAGAGGAATAACAATATGATTGAACTGATTCTAATCCAGAGGTGGTATGCGGCGTATTCCGAGAGACGAGTTTATAATGACGCATCGGTGCATGACCAGTGTTTGAAGATGGGATCAAGATGTCAACTGGAAAATGTGATTGTTAACTGCGAAACATTCACGATGAACGTTAAGACTACTGGTTCACGCAGACGCCGTAATCCATATCCGAATAATGAAACTACAGATATCGTTCTGTATGTGTGTGTGCCTGTCACTCCTAAGGAGGACCTTTGTTTCCAAAACAAAATGCCGAATATCATACCAACTGAGTCGTGTAGAATTGATTGGCTTATGGCATAATCGTCATGAAACCAGCGTTAAGTTTCTCAAATGGGACTCTCGAGATCCGTCTAAGTGTAGATTAGAAAAGCCTAGGGTGTATGGCAGCTGCGTGATCAGTGGCCTCGATTTCTTTTTTATCAGGATTTCCAGCAAGAACGTAATGTAGCAATTTCTGGGGGACTTTCGTGTATCGTCCAAGGACCGTTCATACTGCAAACAGTTTCTGGTATGATGATTGTCGGTGTTTGCCTCTAGCCAAAGGAGGACAACGTACCCGATCCAGTGAAGTCATTGGATGCAGACCAGTTCGAACCTAACCAAGAAAAGAAGTATAATTAGTTGCGCGTGAGAGCAGTGAAAGGAGTATTCCCCAATAACTCTAAGACTATATACAATATTATAACAGATAATTAGATCCCGCAAACTGAAAGCGAAAACCACGCAAGGCTCGACTGGTGCGATTGTGACACAGGAACACGTGTGTGGCGTGCATTTGCGTGCGTGCTATGTTTTCGTGTTTTATTTGGCAATCGTTTCCGGAAAAAAGTGATCATTGTTTTTGTAGGTGATATTTCTCAAATCTAGTTGTTTTTGTGGTCGTTATTGAATTTGATGTGATGTTGATTGGTGAGAAATTGTACGTGTATCAGTTTGAATGTTAAGGAGTGTTTTTCTATGTGTGTGTGTGTGTGTCTGTCGATCCTCATGTTTGTTTGTTTGTCTGTTCGTCTGTCTGTCTAGTTCTCATTGTTTGTTGTCTGTCTTTTACTTTGTGCATTGTTGTTCGCTTTGCATATTTATTTGTATGTTTAGTTTTTTTTATTTTTCATTATAATTTTGTATGTGGATGTGTGTTGGTGGGCGAGTGAGTGTATGTGGTTGTTTGCGTTGTATGTTGTTCGAATGAGCGAGCACCATTGTGTAATCGGATGTGCGAATCATGAATTGCACGTGCGACAAGGGCTCGGTGCGAGATGAATATGTTGAGTCGTTTGTGGCTCGACTGGTGCGATTGTGACACGGGAACACGTGTGTGGCGTGCATTTGCGTGCGTGCTATGTTTTCGTGTTTTATTTGGCAATCGTTTCCGGAAAAAAGTGATCATTGTTTTTGTAGGTGATATTTCTCAAATCTAGTTGTTTTTGTGGTCGTTATTGAATTTGATGTGATGTTGATTGGTGAGAAATTGTACGTGTATTAGTTTGAATGTTAAGGAGTGTTTTTCTATGTGTTTGTGTGTGTATCTGTCGGTCCTCATGTTTGTTTGTTTGTCTGTTCGTCTGTCTGTCTAGTTCTCATTGTTTGTTGTCTGTCTTTTACTTTGTGCATTGTTGTTCGCTTTGCATATTTATTTGTATGTTTAGTTTTTTTTATTTTTCATTATAATTTTGTATGTGGATGTGTGTTGGTGGGCGAGTGAGTGTATGTGGTTGTTTGCGTTGTATGTTGTTCGAATGAGCGAGCACCATTGTGTAATCGGATGTGCGAATCATGAATTGCACGTGCGACAAGGGCTCGGTGCGAGATGAATATGTTGAGTCGTTTGTGGCTCGACTGGTGCGATTGTGACACGGGAACACGTGTGTGGCGTGCATTTGCGTGCGTGCTATGTTTTCGTGTTTTATTTGGCAATCGTTTCCGGAAAAAAGTGATCATTGTTTTTGTAGGTGATATTTCTCAAATCTAGTTGTTTTTGTGGTCGTTATTGAATTTGATGTGATGTTGATTGGTGAGAAATTGTACGTGTATTAGTTTGAATGTTAAGGAGTGTTTTTCTATGTGTTTGTGTGTGTATCTGTCGGTCCTCATGTTTGTTTGTTTGTCTGTTCGTCTGTCTGTCTAGTTCTCATTGTTTGTTGTCTGTCTTTTACTTTGTGCATTGTTGTTCGCTTTGCATATTTATTTGTATGTTTAGTTTTTTTTATTTTTCATTATAATTTTGTATGTGGATGTGTGTTGGTGGGCGAGTGAGTGTATGTGGTTGTTTGCGTTGTATGTTGTTCGAATGAGCGAGCACCATTGTGTAATCGGATGTGCGAATCATGAATTGCACGTGCGACAAGGGCTCGGTGCGAGATGAATATGTTGAGTCGTTTGTGGCTCGACTGGTGCGATTGTGACACGGGAACACGTGTGTGGCGTGCATTTGCGTGCGTGCTGTTTTCGTGTTTTATTTGGCAATCGTTTCCGGACAAAAGTGATCATTGTTTTTGTAGGTGATATTTCTCAAATCTAGTTGTTTTTGTGGTCGTTATTGAATTTGATGTGATGTTGATTGATGAGAAATTGTACGTGTATCAGTTTGAATGTTAAGGAGTGTTTTTCTATGTGTGTGTGTGTGTGTCTGTCGGTCCTCATGTTTGTTTGTTTGTCTGTTCGTCTGTCTGTCTAGTTCTCATTGTTTGTTGTCTGTCTTTTACTTTGTGCATTGTTGTTCGCTTTGCATATTTATTTGTATGTTTAGTTTTTTTTATTTTTCATTATAATTTTGTATGTGGATGTGTGTTGGTGGGCGAGTGAGTGTATGTGGTTGTTTGCGTTGTATGTTGTTCGAATGAGCGAGCACCATTGTGTAATCGGATGTGCGAATCATGAATTGCACGTGCGACAAGGGCTCGGTGCGAGATGAATATGTTGAGTCGTTTGTGGCTCGACTGGTGCGATTGTGACACGGGAACACGTGTGTGGCGTGCATTTGCGTGCGTGCTATGTTTTCGTGTTTTATTTGGCAATCGTTTCCGGACAAAAGTGATCATTGTTTTTGTAGGTGATATTTCTCAAATCTAGTTGTTTTTGTGGTCGTTATTGAATTTGATGTGATGTTGATTGGTGAGAAATTGTACGTGTATTAGTTTGAATGTTAAGGAGTGTTTTTCTATGTGTTTGTGTGTGTATCTGTCGGTCCTCATGTTTGTTTGTTTGTCTGTTCGTCTGTCTGTCTAGTTCTCATTGTTTGTTGTCTGTCTTTTACTTTGTGCATTGTTGTTCGCTTTGCATATTTATTTGTATGTTTAGTTTTTTTTAATTTTTCATTATTATTTTGTATGTGGATGTGTGTTGGTGGGCGAGTGAGTGTATGTGGTTGTTTGCGTTGTATGTTGTTCGAATGAGCGAGCACCATTGTGTAATCGGATGTGCGAATCGTGAATTGCACGTGCGAGAAGGGCTCGGTGCGAGATGAATATGTTGAGTCGTTTGTGGCTCGACTGGTGCGATTGTGACACGGGAACACGTGTGTGGCGTGCATTTGCGTGCGTGCTATGTTTTCGTGTTTTATTTGGCAATCGTTTCCGGAAAAAAGTGATCATTGTTTTTGTAGGTGATATTTCTCAAATCTAGTTGTTTTTGTGGTCGTTATTGAATTTGATGTGATGTTGATTGGTGAGAAATTGTACGTGTATTAGTTTGAATGTTAAGGAGTGTTTTTCTATGTGTTTGTGTGTGTATCTGTCGGTCCTCATGTTTGTTTGTTTGTCTGTTCGTCTGTCTGTCTAGTTCTCATTGTTTGTTGTCTGTCTTTTACTTTGTGCATTGTTGTTCGCTTTGCATATTTATTTGTATGTTTAGTTTTTTTTATTTTTCATTATAATTTTGTATGTGGATGTGTGTTGGTGGGCGAGTGAGTGTATGTGGTTGTTTGCGTTGTATGTTGTTCGAATGAGCGAGCACCATTGTGTAATCGGATGTGCGAATCATGAATTGCACGTGCGACAAGGGCTCGGTGCGAGATGAATATGTTGAGTCGTTTGTGGCTCGACTGGTGCGATTGTGACACGGGAACACGTGTGTGGCGTGCATTTGCGTGCGTGCTGTTTTCGTGTTTTATTTGGCAATCGTTTCCGGACAAAAGTGATCATTGTTTTTGTAGGTGATATTTCTCAAATCTAGTTGTTTTTGTGGTCGTTATTGAATTTGATGTGATGTTGATTGGTGAGAAATTGTACGTGTATTAGTTTGAATGTTAAGGAGTGTTTTTCTATGTGTTTGTGTGTG